CAGTTGGTCACGCACAGGAGCAGACAGGATCAGGTGCAGATGAGCAGGCACAGTGGAAGAGGGTAGCCGAGACAGGACGTAGGAACCGGAACTTGAAGCAGACTTTAAACTGGTCTCCACCCTGGAGCCAGGCTTACTTTAATAAAAACTAAACCTCCCCCCATAATGAGCCAAAAACCCAGAGGACTCTGTGGGGAAGGAACAGTGGACGATCAGGAGACGAGACAAACACTAAAACCCTCTTTCCACTGGCAGCTAGGATCCAGGACATGAACCAAATAAAAACTGAACAGAAAGACTGACAGAAAGACAAGCAATGATCTGGCCCTGAATGCTCAGGCTGAACTGAATATAAACCACAGCAAACAGGTGAGGGAAATAAATTATAATTGAGGCAGGGAAGGAAGAGGGCAGGTGAGAGGAATTACCAATTAAGGGTGAGCAAACAGGCCAGATCATGACACTATCTATATAGTTATGCTGCTATAGGCTTGGACTGCTGGAGGACAGAGGGACCCCTATTTCATCCTTCTGCTTAATTTTATCTCTATATTCCCACTCTGCAGAATCTGTCAGTTCAATCTACCACTATGCTCTCTCTGCTTTTTCTCACAGTAGCTTTGCCTCGTCTGTTCCTGTTTGGCTGTGACGCCATCCTGGAGAGAAATATCAGCTGTGCTGCCACCATCAACGTCTTTGTTTATAGAGGTTCAAGATTGGCCTGTTTTTCAGCGTAGTCCTGTTTCTCTGACTGTGACTGACTGGATGTGCTCTCTTCATCCTCTGACATGGGAGCTGGCTCGGAGCTCGTCTGCCTGGCTGTGTGTTTCCTGGACGGGGCCACCTTTGGAGCTGGTTTACAGTTGCATTTTTTATCCTTGCTTCTCCTTCTTACTGTATATCTGCTTCTGTCCGCTCACGCTCAGCCTGGTTCTGCTGGAGGTTTCTTCCTGCTAAAAGGGAGTTTTTCCTCTCTACTGTTGCTACAAGTATGCCTCGTGTGAGGGATTGCCTTCGAGTCAATGAGTCGATGCAATCAACTTTATCAACTTTTTTCCTTAGATTAAAGGCTTTGAATCAATTTGACTGTATGATCTGGTGATCTATAAAGTGCTTTGAGATGACCTGTTGTGAATTGGTGCTATAGAAATAAACTGAATTGAACCTTTGCATGCCAAACTTTTTTCCATCCACTCAGCTCTTTATGAATATGCTTCGATAAAGTAGATTGGGAACAAACATCTTGCAGAGTAATTACACTTCTGCGGCTTACGCTCCTCTTTTAGTGTCAACAAATGGTCCGTAGACCCCTGGCAAGTCAACATTCTTCCTGATTGTGTCATAGGTCATAATTATATAAGACTAACCAAATACAAATATTTTTTTTTTCATCTAAATTGGTGTTATGTAATATTCTTATTTTCCTTAATAAAGAATTCTCTATGACATTAACTCTATCATATTCTATTTATTTTATATGTCGACATCTAAATGAAAGGAAACAGAAACCCAAAAAAAGGTAAATCAACATTAATCTGCCATTAATTTACATTCATGTAAACCAGGGATGTCCATAGTATCCCCCTAAATCTTTAAATAATCCACAAAACAAACTATTTGTCTCTTTTAAGCTAATGCTAATGAAGATTCTCAGCCATCCAGGTCATAGTCATTCCGTAAAAGTAAAAAAAAACCAATCCACTGGACTTGGTTTCCAAGGTTTGAATACGTTTCGCTTCCCGTCCAGGAAGCTTTCTCAGTTTTTTTTTTTTAACTTTTATGGAAAATCTTTTAAGCTAAGTGTTGATAGTAAGCAGGACCACCCTGATCCAAAGCTGTTTTCTGATAACAAAGTTTTATTTTGGGGAATTAAAACCTTACTCTTTCATGTATGATGTGTAGAGGGTGCAAATAGGAGAAAAAAATCAAGGGAGAGATTTGTTAAATGCAGAATTAATATTTGTCCCTTCAAAGGATTATTTCTGCTCAGAATCTCTGCAGCTCCTCCAGAGTTACCAAGACTAAACCCCTGGTGATTTTTTTCTCCCCTGGGAAATTTCTTGCAAATATCTTGGTAAGTTTACAGATGAGCCCTACTGTTTCCAATCATAGATGTGCAGTGTAATCCTTTTTTTAAACGTCTCCACATTTGTGTGTTTTGGGGTTTTTAAGAGACAGAACCAAAATGCTACGTTTAGAACGGTTGTCTTTATTCAGGACGTAAAGAGAGAGAGAAAAAAAACAGACAAAACAAAAACACCAATTTCATCAAGCTCACCATACTTTAGACAAACCAGATCTCCTTTTTTTTAAAAACATTTACATCTAACAGCACTTTAACCTCTACAGAAAATTACAAAAAGAACACTCACAGAAACTAGCAGAGCCATCTTATGTGGTATGAACGCTGCCTCAGAGGATTTTCCCTGCTGGGTAGATTTTAAATCTAAATATTCCAGCTACTTCCCAACTATCAGCTCACATGCAACACAGTTTCCAGTCAAAAAACAAACAAAAAAACCTAGATTACATTCATAATTATGACTACACTGAGTGACTGTCTCTACTACTTAATGACGAGCAGACTGCACAGAATAGAATCACAACAGTAAGATCTTCATTTAAGAAGTAAGTAACGAACAGCCTAAAGTCAGCTAGATGTCTGAGAAACATTAGAATGTAGGTTTATGGGCATGTAAATCATGTTTGAAGTTGCTTTTAATAATAAAGAATGATTTATTGGATTCATGTATTGCAGAATTTAGCCCAAGCAGAGAAGGGCATGCCTTCATGTTGAGGGAAAACTGTCCAAAAATTGCATTAAAGCCTTCAATTATCTATGTATCAGTGTGGTAAGTCTATTAAGAGGAACAAGGTGAAGACTTTATTTTGACAGTTGAATGCATTGGAAACTGGAGCCATATCTTTACCTAGATGAACATTTAACAGGATCTACAAACCGCTCCCACTCCCCTCCACATCCTCTATCTCCACTGAGCGCTTGCGGAGCACAGAGTTTGCCCTCCTGCCACTCTTGGTCTGCATCGGCATCTTGGCCTTGCAGGGAGCGCGGTACTGAGGCAGGCCGGTCTTGGTGGTGTCCAGCTCCTCGGGGTCATCCTGCTGGGCCCGGAGGGCTGCGATCACATCCTTATCTGAGGGACTAAGGGTCAGGCAGCCACAGGGACGGCCCTCCCCAACAGTCTCTCCTGCCTCTCCCACTTCCTGCTGGTCGTCTTCTACGGTCATAAAGGCGTCGCCCCAAAGGCTCTCGCACAGATCCCTGCCATGCTGATACATCTGAAAACAAAAAGGGCACACAGATTAAAATTTGGTAGAAACTACAACTTTAAAAGCAAGAGTAACACATTAAATAAAGAAAACCTTACTAGTCCTCTTTGATTGGGAGGGCTGTGTTCTTTGATTCAAAACGTGTAAAACATTAAATCAAAACAAACAATAAATTCATAATTTATAGAAAGTACAAATCAAAGTAAATTCTCTGAATCTCTTTTTAGGTCGATTAGTTACTAATTACACTCAAATGGATAAGTAAAGCAACTAGACTAACTTAAGCTCCAGTATTTCGGTTATAAATCTGCACCTCAAAGATTTCCTCTCTTATTTCTGATTTTTGAAGAACCCAGAAAAGATTAAAAGCCTGCCGGCCTGACCTGCCTCAGTTAAGAAAGAAACTCAGCAAAAGCGACATTTATTAGAGAGTTTCAAGATACAGCAGTAATAAAAGGAACGGAAAGAGAAGTCTCCCATTGACCACAAGAACATGATGATGATTCCAAAACATTTTTAGTAAAATATTCTCTGGAAAGACGTGAAAAACGTGGCAGGTTTTGGAAAGTGTCTGTCCTGTTAAATTAGGCGTGAAACTGACAAACTGTTTTAAGAAAAGAGCATGATGTCCAGAATACAACAGGGTGGTACCTTAAACTCACCAGCTATATGTAATAATTAAATAATCCAATTCATAAAGCCTCCAAAAAGTGGAGAATGTGAATTAGTCCTGCTAAAGTATGGGCAGAAATGTCTGATTTTTAAAAGATTTCTTTTTCTTAAAGGCATCATTACTTGGAACTTTTCTTATCAAAACGTTTGTGCTGGGCTTAAGCTAAAACCTGTCTGACAAATTTTTTTTTTTTTTTTTTTTTTGTGGCCTTATTTGTTAAAACCAGAAAAGCCCGCAAGGGTACACTATCCAAAGAACAAATCGTGCTATCTCCACTTCCATCTATATTCCACAAAAAGGGTAATTCAAACAATCAGGGACTCACCTGCAGGCAATCAATATGTGTCACTTAATACATTTTTACCTATTGTGTAGGAGACTGGGAAATGATGGTAAACAAAACATGGCTAACTGCTAACATTAGTAACGCTACATCCACATTAAAGCACATGCACACAAGTCAAATTCTCATGTGTATTATTGTCACAAAAAGGGCGGTATTAAATTGGGTCAGAATTAGCTGTTGTTAAATTTTTTTTCACCAAAAAATGATTGAAGATGAATGTAAAGTCAATTTCAGAAGGGTTTTCTGTTAAATACCACCTGATGACTCCTGTAAATATAATTATGCAGTTATGACTCGCCAAAGGATTTTAAAAATATAATTACAACAAATCAAATAGTTTACAACAATAAGATTTTTATGAAGTGGAAACATATCTTCTGTCGCCCAGAAAGGTGGGAATCACCATAGCAACCAATGACATAGCTTTTTCTCTGGCTTCGTATATCATTCAGCAGGTTTTATTTCCTCATATAAATCATCATCTAGTAAGAATTAATTCTTTTTGAAAAATAAGTTCTCCTGTAATGATATAGTCTTCTGCACAAAGAGCAACAGCATGTGTCACAGCTGCAGAGCTTTTGTGCATCTTAAGCAAGGGCATGCTTATAGATTTGAAAAAGAAGGTGTCCAACCAGCATAAATAAATGTAAGGAATTCCAATTTGCAATCCAGAGTACATATCTCATAATGGTTTTAATCAAATCTAAGCTGAGCATGTCCCTTCAACTGCAATGCTGTGGACCATAATAATATTATTCACGGTGTAGGCCTTGCATACAAATGCAATCTTTGCACACTGGCTATAGAGGATGATAAGTGAAACATAGTGTAAAAAGTAATTACTAAAACACCATTTCCCATAGTTGGGGAGCATTTGAGTAGAATATGGTGTAGGATATTTACTTGTTCTTTGTGTGGGTTGTGTATAAGTGGACGGGTTGTATAGCATCTGTTATATGGAACATCTAAGGGGTTTTATACATACAGTCTGTAGCAAAAGTATGTAGGCCTATGTATGTTGGGACTTTCATTTTGATTTTGGTTTGGCATTTTATGTGATTGAGAAATGTACTTTAGCTCAAAGAAAAAAAACAAAACAAACAAAAAAAAAAAAAACCCATGAGTTATCTTGATTGTTTGTCTTTTTAAAAGTGTGATCTGACAGTTTGAACTGATTCTCCTGCTGGAAAGAAGAGAAAGAGGGTGCATTGTTTAAAGTGCACAATCTTTTAAAGTGAGCTATAGAAAACACTCCGAACCCCTTCTCTCTTTCTGGTCTTTTGTTTAGCTTTTATCTTCTTGGATCCAGGAATAAATAGGTGCTTGTATTTTGCAGCCCTCCATACCCACCAGCTTGGTGCTGAGTCCTCCTGATGCTTTCCCCCTGGCCTGCCTGAGCCTCACCTCGCTGCATAAACATTCTCTGAAATAATTGATTTTGCCCTTTTCACAGCTGTTCTGGCCTTGAAAGCGCTTTGCCTCTGCCAGGTGTTTTTCTCTCTCAGGTGGCTTGTTCTACTCCTGCTGCTCTCCTCACCTTGACAACAACATCGTCCTTGAGAGCAAATCAGGAAACATGACTATAAAAAACCTTCAGGTTTTGTATAACAGCCTCTGACACCTCTAGCATGCCTCACAGAGTAGATTAATAAATGTGAACTGACCCTCAGTCGAGACAGATTGATTAAAACTCCAATAACTTCTCCTATTTAGGCTGTTTACAGTGTACTGGAAAAGTATTCCTACCTCCTGAACTTTAAATCTTCAATGAGGAAGATTAGGATTTTATGTTCTAGAACACAATGCAGTACATAATTATGTAGTGTGATGAAAATAATACAAGCTAAAAGTGTTTCATGCATATTTGTTCCCCTCTCTCTGAGACCTTTAGATAAAATGTAGCACAATCACATGAGCCTTTTAATTTCAGTACAAATGTGACCCAACTGCAAAGCCTTAAGGCTGAGTTATAGCCATGCTTCGGGTGATAGCGCAGGTCTTTGAGGATCCAACCCAAAGAAGGCCTGTAGATGTTTATATAGAAACTGTTGAAATCAGAATTCCAAAATGGCTGCTCACAGTATTGTAATCAATCATGATGAATGGATGGTGTGTTTGTGGCGGCTAAACAGAAATAAAAGGAGAGCTAGAGACACAGTAATAGGAATCCAGGTTGTGTGGTCTGTTTTTCTGGTTGTGTGTTTTTCTCCCTCCACCACCAGGAGGTGCCCTGTCCTCGTTGGCCCTCCTGCACACCTGTGGCTCGTTGGATCATTATCTGGAGGAGTATTTAAGCAGTGGGCTGTCACTACCTCGAGGCCATAATGTTTGCCAGTTTTGGGTACTCTAGCCAAGCTGAGTTTAGCTGAGTCTAACCTAGCTTTGTTTCTCTAAGTCTAACGATTTTTTTGTCTTTGCTCCCCGGCAGGAAGCTTTCCTGTGTTACTGGATACCTGGACCTTCTCTCCCCTGGAAGGAAAAAACGAGTTACACTGAGCAGGGGAAAACCTCCACATGTTCCGTTCAAGTACCCATCGGAAATCCGAGTGACAGTCCGCTCCATTACTCCTCCGGGTCCAACGCTTGTAAAACCTGTCCACCCTCCAACATGTGCACTATTCTCTGGACTTACCACACAGACTGGATTCAAGGACTAACAAGGTCCCCCTCTAACGTGACTCCCATTCTTGCAGATCTAAGTGCTTCCAAGATTCCCAAGGTACCTGAACTGACCACTGAACTTCCCTTCTCACTTCTATTTCCGGGTTACCAGCTCACCAAGTTCCAGATCCAACTCCTGTTTACTCCTTCTCTAAACCTGTTAAACTTTTTCTGTGCTCTTTGAGTGGTTTCTCTGCATGTGGGTCAGATTCATTAAATGACACACAGAAGAAGATGGTATCGCCCGTTGCATACAGAAAGTCGTGAAGATGGGGAATGCAGCCAGTGTCTTTTAAGAAAAGTTGCTTTTTTTTAAACACCCTGCTTTACTAAATTAAAAGTGATCTCTTTACATACAATAGGTTTCTACTTTAGACTTGATTAACTCTGCAACTGACAGAATGGAAATCAAAATCCTTGCTTGCACTTTATCAAACTCACCACTGAATGTATACCAGTAATTTGTATATGCCGTTTTAAGACACACACCAAGTGGTAACAACATAGCATTATACTCAACATTGTGGACTCTAATGTGTTCTAACTTTATAACGCACATTTATCCATCTCTTACCTTTATCTTTTGATATTTGTCTTTTCTATAACTGTATTTCTTTTGTACTGAAAGTAAGTATTTATTTGTGTGTAAAAATTTTGCATCTCGTTCACTCTGAATGGACCCTCGTGGTCTGTGGCACTAGGTAAGATGGACAAGCAGAGATCATTAATCAGAAAAGCAGCATAAGTCCTAAGGGACCTCTGGAGGAGCTGCAGTCGCTTGCAGCTCATGTGGGACGATCTGTCTACCTGATAATTATTTCAATTTAAAGGACAGCCATAAATGTCCTGTTTAGGATAGTTTTCAACAATCATAAGATGAAAAAAGGGGTTTGGTTTAAATACAAGTTTTAAGCAAAATGCTACAATTCAGCATATCCCTGTGAATAAATCTCCACATGTTTGAAATGTATCATTCTGTGGGGTGCTTTGCCTTTTTCAGAAGGGAAAAGTGTGAACTTTAGAGCTGATGGGAAGACGGATGGCAAATCTGAGATGAGAACCGGCAGAAGACTGCAAAGACTTGAATTTGACAATAAAGTATATTACTTTGGTATATTACGGGACACTCCGTTTGTATTGATGGGATCATTTCAGCTTAAAAAAGCAAGCAGTCCTTACTGACTCAAACTTGGGGAGGGTGTTCTTCAGAAAGGACAGTCCTCTGGGGTTGAATACAAATGAAATGCTTCTAATTTTAGTTTAAAACATATGCACCTTTTACTTCAGTCATGCACTGCTTGTGTGTTGGTGTTTGTAATATTATTCTAA